AGGCCGGCCTGTGCCTGCGGGGCGCCTGACCTGGCCGAGTCTGCCTCCCTGCAGTGTGCCGCCCCGGCGGCTGTGCGCGGGGCTGTGCGTCCCGCCCTGCCCAGCCCTGACCCTCCCACCCCAACCCCCCACCAGGAGAGCTGCGCCCGAGTCCTGCTGTTCCGTGGAGCCAACAAGGATGTCCGCAATTACAACAGCCAGACGGCCTTCCAGGTCGGGCCAGGGCGCAGGGCTCCTGTCTGGTCCCTGGAATTTGCTCCAGGCAGGCCCTCGGCTCTGTCCCTGGAAGGGGATGAGGAGCCCCCACTCAGATGGCCTTGCCGAGGCGGAGGGTGGACGCCCAGGCCAGGGCTCTGACGGGTGCTGCCATGGGTGTCTCCCCAGGGAGAGGGAGACCAGAGGGCTCTGGGCAGGGAGGACAGCGTGGGCCGGACTGGCAGGGGCAGGGGCAGGGGCAGACCACAGGCCGGACTGGCCCTGGTGGCTCCTTCCCGCCTGGGCTCTGGCTGTGCAGGCGGACAGGCCTCCCCGCGGGCTGGTGTTTGTGGGGAGGCCTGGGCTTCACGAAGGGGGCTGTTCGGAGCACAGAAGGGGCAGGGACTCTGTTCTCGGTGGGAGGTGGGAGGGGGCCTGCGGTGGTGGGCCGTGCATGGGGTGAGGCAGGGGTGGTGGGCGAGAGGGACGAAGGGGTGAGAGGGCTGTTGAGGGAACAGGGGGACCGGTGCGCCCGTGCCCAGGATGGCTGACCGCCGTGCTGACAGTCGTGTCTCAGGATTCCGCAGCCCCAGGCAGGCCGGGGGCGGGTCAGACAGGGCCGGGCGGGCCGGGCCCCAGCCTGGGAGCCCACACAGGGGCGAGAGGAGACCCCAGGGGTGAAGGCGAGCCTGACTCCGGGCCCTGCGTCCTCAGGTGGCCATCATCGCGGGGAACTTTGAGCTGGCCGAGGTCATCAAGACACACAAGGACTCCGATGTGGGTGAGTCCGGCCCCCCCCCCGCGTGTGGGGGCTGTCTGGTCATGTACCGCACGCTGCCCCCACGCTGGCTGCGGCCCGGGCCGCCAGCGAGGGGCTGGTGGGGTGCGGGTCCTGACAGCTGGTCTGCGGGGCCGAGTCTGCCTGCCTCTGAGTGCCAGCTCCAGGCGGGGCCTGAGCCCTCCGTGCAGGTGGCCAAGAATAGGACTCGGCCGGCGGGGCCCTGGCCAGGCCCAGCCCACACCGGCTCCTTTTTCCTTTGAAAGTGGGGTTTCATGCGGCATGGCCGTTTTTGGATGATCACTGCGTATGGTCACAGCATGGTGCAGCCAACTCTGTTGTTTTTTAAAACATTTCTGCCACCTCAAAAGGAAAGCCAGCCACACCCTTCTGCCCACTGGGCGCCCTCTGGGTGGACACACTGCTGCGTGTGGCTGGCCGTGGCTCCTCGCACATGCTGGCCGCCTCTGGCCGGCCCGCCCTTGCTCAGGGGGCGCTGGGCTGCGCCCGCGTCGGGTGCTGGGGCATCGCCCCTGTGAGTGTGGTGCGCCTGCATTTGCTTGAATCCCCGTTTTCAATGACTGAGTATCCCTGGATCCTGTCACTCTGTTTGCTAGCTTTGGGTTTGGTTTGCTTTTCCTTTTCTAGCTCCATAGATTTAATGAGGTTACTGATTTTAAATTTTTTTTCAGATTGATTTTGTTTATTTATGCATACACGGACTGGGGCACAGGCAAGAGGTGGTAGGGGGCTGGGAGGATTCACCGGAGACACAGTGGGGAGCAGAGCAGACGGATTTACTGCCGAGGGGGCAGCGGGCAGAACAGGAGGGGCCTGCTGCACCCGGGGGTCACTCCCCACCGGAGTCGCACTCGGGCTGCAGTGGCCGCGGGCAGCCTCACAGCGCTGCGCTTTAAGCTGCTGCGCCACCGGAGAGGCCCTCCTGAGTCTGTAACGCGGGTGTTCAGCGCAGGATGCTTCCGAGCAACTGCCGCTTGCCCTCTGCACTCGACTCCCCACTAGAGTGCAGGGTGGCGCCATCTCCACCGCCTCAGGCACCCACCCGCGTTGCCTTTGTTTTTCCGGGCTGTCACCTCTGGTGGGGTGAGCCACATCGCGGTTCTGGCTGGTGTTTCTTTGGTGGCTGGTGACGCTGAGCATCTTTTCATGCGTTTATTAGTCATTTGGGCCCCTTTGGAGAACTGTCAACTCCCCGGCTCATTTCTTAGTTGCTCGGAGAACGGGTTCGAAAGCTTCCCCCGCTCTTGCATTGCTCGGGAAGACTGAAGTCGGTGCCCAGTGTCTGCAGAGCTGGGCAGGGCTGTGTTGGCGGGGCCCTGGCGGGGAGCCTGTGGAGCAGGCAGGTCTGCAGGGACTGCCCGCTGCCTCACGCATCAGCTCTGTACTTGCCGTGGGCCTGGAAACGCACAGTCCGCTCGGGCCTCCTGGTGTGAGCATCCAGCCGCTCACAGCACCTTCGTCTGTCTCACGCTGGACCTCGCCAGTGAAGCCCCGATGTCCCTGCTTGTTTCTGTTTCCCCTTTTTCCGTTGGTTCAGCTAGTTTGCCAGTTCGGTTGACATTTTCAAAAAACATTGGCCTCATTGATTCTGGCTTTCTGTTTATTTTATTTATCTCTGTGGAATTGTTACCACCTCACTCTTGCCAACTTTGGGTATTGTTTGCTTTTCTTTTCCTCCCTCCTTAATAGGTCTAGTACTGTGACTGGATGTTTAACACGGGTATTTATAGCTATTATTTCCCTTTTCTTAAAAAAAAAAAAAGTGCTGCTTTTGTGGCACCCTTTAAGTTGTGCTATGTTGTATTTTTGCCTTAATTTATCTCAAAATATTTTCTGACGTTCCTCGTGACCTCTATTTTGACACATTGGTTATTTAAGCACATGCTATTTTATTTTCAATATTTTATCTTCAACTGAGAATGTTCCAGGTTTCTTCTGTCCTTGATTTCTAGTTTTATTCTATTGTGACTGGAGAGGATACTTTGTATGACTTCATTCTTTTAAAACGTATGGAAAATTTGTGGGTGGCCTAAATGTGGCCTGTCCTGTGGAGTATTCTGTGCTCAATTAGGGCTCTGTCTCTGCTCTTGTCTGTGGATTATTTTCTCTCTAGGTGCAGGCGGTTTAAGTTTTCTGTGTCTTTGTAGTTGTGGCTCTCGAAATTCTGTCCGCTTTGGGAAGTGGGGTGCTGAAGTCTTAAACGTTACTATAGAACCTTGTTTTCGCTTTTTGTACTATGTTGTTTGGTGTGTTTATACTACTTTTAACCTATCTGATGTCCTTCTCTGTCACTGTTACACTTTTTCTTCAGGTCTATTTTGTTTGATATCAGCATAGCTACTCAATGCTTTTTCAGTTGCTGTTTACATGAGATTTCTTTTTTCATTCTGAAACACTTATGTCATTGGTGCTCAGTGGCTTTTCATAAGTGCCATATAGTTGGATCATAGTTTTCTTAAGTATATATTTGGGTTTTCTGCTTTTTAAAAAAGTTTTATTGGCACTCAGCCATATCCAATTATTTGTATGTTGTTTGTGGCTGTTTACCTGATATAGACAGTGTTGAGTCCTTGGAATAGGGACTGTATGGTTTATGAGGCTCGAAGTAGTTGTGATCTGACTCCCCACGGACCATCTGCCAGCTCTGGCCTAGCTCTGGTCTAGCAGTTTGTGCTTCCCCGGTGAGCTAGCCCCTCACTGCCATGCTGTCTCTTGCAGAGCCCGGAAGGTGGACAGTTTCACGGGGGATCTGAGCCCCACAAGACCCTGTCTGCCTGACAGGAGGGCAGGTTTCTCTTAGAAGCTGGATTTAGGGGAGCTGGGGTGTGGCCCCATTAGCGGTTGTAGCCGCAGGGTGGCTATCTGTCCTGACACAGGGAATTTTGTTTTTTAAAGGTTTATTTATTCATGCATACAGAGCTGGAATACAGGTCAGAGGTGCAGTGGTGGTGAGAGGACTCCCCAGAGACAGAGTGGGGAGCAGAACAGGCAAATTGATGAAGTACACTGTGAGGGGGCACTGGGCGGGTCAGGAGAGGTCCGCCGTGCCCTGTGGGTCCCCTCTGGGGCGGGGATTGAACTTTCACTGAAGCGGCTGTGGCCACTAGCAGTGCTGCGTCCTAACCCGCTGCACCACCGTGGAGGGCCTGGCACAGAGAATTAAAGTCTGGAAAGCCTGGCAAGCCAGGACGGCTTGGTTACCCTGTCTCACCTGGTGCCTTCCCGCCCCGCAGTGCCATTCAGGGAGACGCCCAGTTATGCCAAGCGGCGGCGGCTGGCCGGCCCTAGCGGCCTGGCCTCCCCCCGGCCTCTGCAGCGCTCAGCCAGCGACATCAACCTGAAGGGCGAGGCTCAGCCCGCAGCTTCCCCCGGACCCTCGCTGCGAAGCCTCCCCCACCAGCTGCTACTCCAGAGGCTGCAGGTGGAGAAGGACCGGGACCGGGACGGGGACTACAACGATGCCGGGGGCCTTTCAGCAGGCAGGAGTGCCCAGAGCAAGGTCAGGTAGGTGGGGACTGTGCGCGCTGGCTGGTCCCGGGCTGCCCAGGGTCCGGCGTGGGAGGCCACGGAGGTCGGAGGAGCCCGGTATTCCGCAGTGAAGGGCCGAGTGAGCCCCAGACGTGCTCCCTGGGTGGAGAAGGGCAGAGCTTTGTCCCGCTGGCCAGCACTGGTCCCCCACTCTGGTCTCTGGTTGAGCTGGGCCTTGCTTGGGGACAGTGGACACCCAAGGGGGCTGTGGGAGGGAAGGGTCTGGGCAGATTGTGGTTGGGAGGGATTACCATGGTGCCCGGAGGGCGGGGGCTGGACGGAGTGTCCTCTCTGTGAGGTCTGGAGCCCGGCAGGCGGCCCCAGGTTCTGTAGGGCCCCTTGGTCTGCCCTGCAGCCCTCGGCCCGGGATGACTCAGGCCTCTCTGGTTTCTGCTCTGCCTCTCACGAGCCCTGGGGGGTCTGGGGGCCGGGGGCACTTGTATCCCCAAAGCCTGCAGTCGGAAGCCTGGACTGGAGCCCCACGGCCTCGGCGGCTACAGCCTGGGGTGTGCAGACAGGTGGCCAGTGGTCTTTGAGTCTGACCGGGGCCTGGCCTGGGCGGGTCAGCGGGCCCCTCTGTGCCCGTGGCTCTCATCCCAGGAAGGACTAGCCAAGGCCTTCGGGAAGCCGCCTGGAGCCCGGCAGGCAGGGCCCTCCTGGGACGCCTGAGGCCCGGGAGCAGCCCTGCCGGCTCGTGGGCGCCCGGAGCCCTCCCCCCGCCGTGGGCCTGATGCTCCTGGGGTGTGCTGTGCCCAGGGCCGGTGGGGGCGTGGAGGCCCAGAGGCCCCGGCCCGCCTGGTGCCCGCCCACGCGGCTGCGCTGTGGCCACCGGCAGTGCCCCCGCCCCTCTGCCCAGCCCCCTAGGTTTGCGCGTGTCCCCGGATCTCCCGAGGCAGGGACGGCCGTGGGCAGGGTGAGCCTCGGTGTTTTGGTGTCGCAGAGGTCACTCCTGGTGGGAGCGGGGTGCCCCCACCCCACCTCCTGTTGCTTGTTCCTCCCGCCCTGGGGACGCAGCCTCCCCTACGGAGGGCTTCCCCACGGGAAGTGGCCCTGGCCCGTCCAGGCCGGGCCTCGGTGAGCAGCGAGGTCTGCAGCCCTCAGGAGGCCGGCAGGGGAGGGACGCTCGCCAGGGGCCCTCGAGGAAGCAGCTGCTGGTGCTGGCTGGCGTGGAGGGGCGCGGAGGTGGCATGGGGGGCACCCCTTGGCAGCGAGCCCAGCCCCCGGGCCCGGGTGCCGCTCCGGGCAGGGTGGAGACCGGCGCGACTGGACTGAGAGCCGCAAGCAGCCCCCGGGTGAGCGGGCCCCAGGGCTCCGGTGCGCGGAGGGAGGGAAGGGCCGCGTGTGCTGGCCGGGGGCCCCCAGGGTCTGGCCACTGGCAGAGGTCAGGGCCCCGCCCACGTCCTTGGGAGCCAGCGCGGGCTTCGGGGCAGGACCGAGGTGCGGGACCTGGGCGCGCTGCGCGGGGGCAGCGGC